CCAAAAAAAGGTGACAAATGGACTCCTTGCTACTAATTTTTTGCTCCGCATGATAAATAATAAATACCATAAAAACAAATTCTTGTTTCGAAAGAAGTCATCTATCGGTTGTCTCCCACTTGTATTCACGTCGATTTTTTTTATTGTTGGACAAAAACCTGGTCCACTGGAGACCTAAACCATATCCACCCTCTCCCAAGCAATCCAACCAAGCGAGGCCCGTCGTGCTTCAGTGTGTATGTATGTATGTGTGTGTGTGTGTGTGTGTGTGTGTGTGTGTGTGTGTGTGTGTGTGTGTGTGTGTGTGTGTGTCATGTCTTTGGCAAAGCGAGCTGCGTTAGCCGCAAGTCAGCCAGCTTGTCAGAGACGGGCTGCCCCAGTCCGCAAGTTACATTTGCTCCATGACTAGTTCTGCAGCAGTCAGTGGACAGTAAAGCCTGGACTTGTTTGCGCTGCAGCCAGAGAGGTATGCTAACACGGCACGAGCAAGGTAAGTTCTCATCCATGTTTACCATATCCAAGATGTACAGTTGTCCCATAACTCTCCTTTCTCTCTCCCTCTCTCTTTTGCTCTCTCATTCACTCATGTCACGGTGACACTTTTGAAGGGCTTCTGGCATCACACTTGGAATCAAATGGCATCACAGTGCAGATCCTGTAACTCTCTGTGTACATAAAAAAAAAGTGAATCCAAAAACAAGCCTGATGGACCTTGCAGTGTGTGTGAATGTGTGCTTGTAGTGCTGCGTAAGATGATGACTTGAGTAGCTGAGACACTGGTCAACATTCTGGACCAAGACGTCGAGTAATACCTTGGAAACCTTTACTTGTGTTGCCTTGTGACGTGGATGAAAGAGGTACACTGCTTACTGTGGTCCCCGGGTCATGCTACCCAGGAGGCTTTGTGTCTAAAACTTGTAGTTCCCTCCTCTTTTGCATTTTGGTGATTTTCTGAAAAAAAAAAAAAAAAAAAGTGCTACTCAGCAACCCAAACTGAATGTATAGTTTTGCTTCCACCAAGCAAGAGCAGTTCCCGACCATTCCGGACACAGTTTTGCAGTTGTGTATTTTTTATTTTTATTTTTTTCATCTTCAAGGGGCCTGTGCAATGCGCCAAACCCGAATTGTAATACTGTGATGCACTGGATGGCTTGTTGAAAACTGCTTTATGTGAACCTATGAACAATATCTGCAGTACTTTTTTTGTTATTGGGTTTTTTTTGCCCCCCTCCCCTATACTTAATATCACAACTCAGAACATGACTTCATGTTTTGTGGATTGCTTCTTGGACATAATGGGGTGGGAACGAAGGCTATATTACAAAGAAACAAAACAACTATCAACTGGATATACAGTGATTCCTCGCTTATCGCGGTTAATTGGGACC